TCTTTGGAGTGGGAGACTCAGTGATAGCCCCGTCAATATTATCCAAAGATTGCTTGATACCCCCAATGGTATTAGTACACATGTTGGATCCATAGACGTTAAGTCCCAGCAGGCCATCCACATTGCCACTCATCTCCTGCTTCTGGGGCAGGTCCAGGGAACGAGGCCGGCGCACCCATTTCTTGGTCGGGGATGCATTGACGACCAGCCCACTCTCGAATGCCTGAACCACCTGCTGAACACGGCCAACTTCAGTCTCTTCCGGCAAACGACTGTCACCATGCTCACGACGTCGGATTTCAAAGGATTGGTAATCCTCTTCAGAGAGTAACTCATCCGAATCCATTGATCCATACTTGGAGACTTCCGTGGTAGGGACCAGCGGGACATCCCTATTCAGCGGGGAAGCGTCCATATCAGCCATGGATTCAGTTCCTTCTACGCCATGCACCCTCGTGGCCGAGCCGAGGCCCTTGGTCAACTTGCGACCACGTCGAGGAAGGGCATCAGCAGCAACTCGAGCCGGTTCCTCCCCACGCGGCTCTCCACCCCCATGTGCCGTGGGTTTTTTTCCCGTTTTACGAGTTCGAGAACCCGATTTAGGCAGTGTATTTTTAGGCTTCAAATGAACCTCCTGCCCAATGAATTCATCTTCGGATTCTTCCTCAAGGATGAGGCGCCGACATCGGGTTTGGTCCTGGGAATGATTAAGAGTCGGAGGAGCCAGTGTCGTCGGGTCCCGCCGAGCAGGCTTCCGCCCCTCCTTCGGTTGATTACCACGAGCATCTTCTCGAGGCCCCAACTTCTCATTCTGAGATCTGCTTCTCCCTCTAGTCTCATTACCAGGCTGGCGATTCCCAGCTAGTCTAGAGCCCTGAGCTCCGTATCTCGCCGATATCTGGGTTTTGCGGCCATGGTTCTTAAGATTAATCTTAGGGCCTTTTGATACTAGGAATTGAAATGGGCTACGTCCCTGGCACTGAAGAGGTTCTGTTTCCGTGAAAGGATGCTCTGAAGAGCCCATCCAAAGCGGACTGTCATCAATTACTGGCTTTTTTTCCGAACCCACCGCTCGCTGCCCTTCATCATCACGGTTACGAGCCGGATTTGGATTGTTCCCCATATTCTTCCTAAAATCTTGATTAACCCACACCGACCTCGATGGGTACTGAGGGGGCTGCTCCTCGTCGTCATATAGCTTGCGGCCCATCTTCTTAGTCGACATCTGCGGCACGAACCGCTCTTTCCCGGAGGGAGGGGGAAACGAGCAGGCCTGGCGGGAGTGACCCACTCGCCCACAGTGATAGCAGAAGCTCGGCAAGTGCTCATACTTTAATCGAATCCAAAAGCACCCAGCCTCCTTGTTAGTCGCAAAAATCTGCGACCTGAGAGGATCTAAGAAATCCAACAACACCTTCACCTTGATGAAACGTTGATCAGAGTCCGTGCATGAGAACAAACCATTCTCCAGGACTCTTCCGAGCATGGCAGCCGCAACCTTACGTCCAAATTGGTACGTACAGCACTCAGGTTGGACGTCCCACAGCTGCAAATGGAAAGGGACTATAGCGAGCTCATCAAATGTTCTTCTACTTGCCGTCGCAGTCCAGGGCCTTAAGTGGAGAATTTTATCACCGACAACCCACAGAGTTTGTTTGAGAATCCAAGCTTTAGCCGCCTTGGTTGGAAGAATGAAATCAAAAAGTCCATGAGCAGCCGCCCTCACCCGGATTCGGCCGCGACCCTGCCAGGGATTATTCGCCAGTTCCCGGACTTCAAGAGGGGAGAGAGTTCGTTCAGTAAATAGGCGGCCGAGAAGGGAGCTGTCCTGGCGCGCCTTCTCAGACTGAACGTCCTCCAAAGAGAACTCCACAATCTGATCTTTGGCAATCTGTGACATGGTGGCAGGCTGCAAAGAGGGCAGGTTTAGTAAATTCTCCATCGAAGTGGAACAAAGGGAGAGATACAGCCCTGACCAGGGAAATCGAGCTAAGGAGCAGGAAACTTTTTGGATGAAACTAGAATTCTCCCAAAGCAGAACGGAAAAAATAGCACAATCCACTTCCCATTTACCAGCGTAGAGTCCACGAGCTCGGGGGTAGGCACACCTTCCTTTTGCCACTAACCGCGGATGATAATTTCGAGAGAGTGAGGAGATATCTCGATTAGTGCTAGGTTTTATAAGGTTTACGCAGCTCAAGGACCCCTTAACGAGCAAGAGACCTGGTTGGTCAGGGCATCTAATTAAACTGTAGAGTTTGTTTTTCAAATTGGGGGTAAAATCTCGGATAATCCTGAGTCTGTTACGGGGCCCAAATCCGAAGATCCCGGATTCGATACGGAAATCCGAGAGTCCCACAATGATATGAGATGGCCGTTGATTATTGTCTACTCGTTCATGAGGACACAGCGCCACCGGCGGTGATTGGAGAACGTCCACCGGCCGGCCGGGGGATTTAATCTCAGGCTTCCCCTTAACACATCTCTTACTGCTAAACCTCGCCCCACCGAGAGGTCTAAGATTTAACGATGTGTGTGAACCAAATGTCACCACCAGTCTCTTATACTGCATAAACAGCAAGGGTCGGGGCAGGGATCAGCCTCCGCACCCCTATCCTTCTTGCAAACTGATGGTATATGAATGTTCCAAGTAGGAGGTTTGGGGCGACGCCACGTCCCCAAAGGCGGTGATCGGAGAAACGCCATCGGCGCGAAAAAGGATGCATTCACAGGCGCACCATTTCCATAATTATTGCAGATAACGCTCGCCCCATCTCGGGATCTAAGCGCTATCGAATTGGCCGGACTAGGACCAACTACGTCCCGTTTGCGGGAGTTGCAGACACCTGCGTGGGGGAGGGGGGTTTCCCTCTCTTCCCTCTCTAACTCATCTATTGATGGCAGATAGAATTTCCACAGCACAATTTTGGAACACCGCCTTCGCTTAGCTGAAGGGGCGACCGGATTTAGCGCGATGAGAACTCGCCGTCGTTTTTTGCAGGTTGCAGCTTCGGTGGAAGCTGCCCGAGCAGGGGCCCCCACCACATCGGTTGCCCGTTGTGAAATCGCAAAATCACTACCCTTGCTCTGATTAGCAAGGGAAACCTCCAGCACGGCCGCGACGGCCGCGTAAAGTAAACGGCCGGCGAAGCAGCAAAAATTGAGGAGAGAGGAGAGAGCTCCTCTCATTTTTTTTTTCTTATATGGTTTGCATGCGAGATGAAAGAATTGCATCGACTTTTATATCATCTTTTACGGGCTTATTTGTTATATTTGTTGGGCTAAACTTTGAGATTATTATTCGTAGTTTTGCGTAATGGGATAAATTGAGGAGTTGACGAAATAATTAATAGCGCAAATCATATAAACATAGAAAAAATGACACACTTTTTTATAGTTAAGATCTATATTCGTCCATGGATTGAATAGCATGTTAGGAGAACATATAAAATAATCGGACAAATTTTAGAAACGTTTCTCCGTGAAGGAGCACGTGATCTCAATGGTGACGACTATGCAACAAAACTATGAAGATAAACACTCTCCATTCAAGATTTATCATTGTTTCTTAAATAGAGAAACTCAGTTGGAAAAAGTATATAAATATCAGGTTGAAAACATTTTCGCCGAAGGAAATAGGGATTAGGGACGGACGAGCAGTGCAAGTACGCATAAAGTTTCCTAGGGCTATGATCTATTGTCTTTCTCAAATTGAGATGCGCTTAGGGAGAATACATGAAAACAACAACATGGATCTAGAGTTGTTGTTATTGTTGCTTCCGATTGATTGTTATTGCTTTCTATTGCAAATTGGAAGCTGGCGTTGTCATTTCTGAAGCTTCTAGGTTGCTGCAGGAACTTAAGTTTGTATCATTGTTTGATGAAATTTTTCTTAATTTTGATGAACTGGAACATAATTGTATGTTGCAGCCTTTAGTTTTAAGAGCGTGGAGATGGTGTTCAACCTATTTCTAAGTATTTTCTTTCATTTGCTTATAGGGATGTAATGAATATGAGTTAATTAGTGGCCTTGTAGTAGAGGTTATTGATACTTCCTGCTACAGGTGGAACATGTTAAGAGAATGGATCTTGCTATTATGCCGATGGGGTAGGTGAGAAACATGCTAAGCTAATATTGTTGGATGAATCAAGTGGTTGCCAAAAAGAAGCACGAAACTATTAGTCGTAAAAATAAGATAAAGGGCCCAACCGGGTTCGAACCGGTGACCTATTGATCTGCAGTCAATTGCTCTACCACTGAGCTATGGACCCTTGTTGTTCAAAGAGTTAGTTTTTTTATATATATAAATAAATAGAAAAACCGCAACCATACTATATAGAAGCTACAATATTCAACAAATCATATGAAATCTGAATCTATCAACATGCACTATGGTCAAACTCTTGAAATCTTTCTTATGCGTTTACAATTCGATTAGCTCAAATACAGCCCCATATTATGTTATATTATTAAAGCTTTACTATAGGGTCTCCTAGTTTTACAACTAGAGTCGATGAACTCAATAGACATTGAGTTAGAGCAATGCTTTTATGAAATTCTATCCTATTTGATGATAAAATATCATATAACAAATCAACGTAGAAAGAGGGAATGCAAAAGCATAATTTTATATTTTTTAACAATTTTTTTTTTTTTTACGTAGGACTCATGGTCGAGCATTCCTCGAGAATCGATCAATCTATCATTCAATCACAAATTGCTCTACCTAGTATTTGACCAATATCGGCAAAGTGTTTAAAACAAGAGGGTTACTATTTGCCGCCCGGATAATTACTATTTGCCGCCTGTAAAAAAAATACTAAAAAGACAATTTTGCCTCCAAAATTTTCTTTATATTCTATTCTCTGAAATGGTTTTTTAAACAACATACACACCACCCGACCACCAACCCCCCACAAACACCATAGCCAGATTCACGACCACCGGACGGCAGCCTAAGTCGCCGGCCACCGGACCAATCTCGTCAGCATATGCGCCCTCAAGTTGTTCCACCATGAATCATAAACAGGCTGGTAGCTAAGAGAGTATCCAAGCGTAGAAGCAGGTCGACGCACAACAAGCGGACGCTCCGGGGATACGGTACACTCTGCACGTAGCCTAACTGTCGGAGGCACCTAGTGGGATCATATGGCTCTACTATCTCTGCAAATCTGAGCAGACCCTGATACAAGGTACGTCTCACCGTCAGATGAGGACTCTGACCATACGAAGTCCAACAAACTGACTGAGGGGTCAAAGTATCAATCGCCTACCGATAATAAGCCAGCATCTGTGCATCCCTCTTCTTTGTCGACTGGGGTGAGATACCGCGCCACCTGAATGCTCCTGCCTGCCCCTGCTCCAGCTCTCGTGGCTCCAACCGACTAGGCCTCAAGGTAGGAAAGTGGTCGTAAATCCAACACTGTAGTAAAGTCAGACAACCCGCCACTCCCTTAGCCTCCGCCCGGGAGGCAATACCAAGCTGCCTGTACAGATAAGCAAGTGCTCCTGCCCCCTACGCGTACTCTCCTATCATATCCGGCCTCTTCACAAACAAGTTGACAACAGCAGAAACGCGGTCCTTACTCTTATCTACGAACATTGTGGACCCAAGCAGCAAAAGAAGGTAACACTGAGCCTCTCTAGCTGGCGGACCAGACTGCTGCAAATGAGTCAAAGCTCCCACACCCAACAAACCAAATCCTCTGTACCACCTAGACAGACTGGCATGTGGAAGGTGTTGGTATCCGGCTGCCACCTCTCCACAAATGCCGAGATGAGAGCAGGGTCCAGCTCGCTCTGGAAGGTGATATCAACAAGGTGAGCAAGGCCCGATGTCTCTACGGTAGTCTTAGCATTATCATCTGCTATCACATAACGGTCGAGAACATGGCGAAGGGTCGAACTCCTGTCGTAGCAAGTGATCACCCCTCTATCAGCCTCTCTAGTGTACAGACGGTGGGCAACATGCCCAAGAAAGCTACGTAGCAAACTCGGGTCGCTCGGTCCTCCAGCACACGGTCCTCTAGCCTCCCAGGCCTCTCCCACATCAGCAATACCACTCTGGCCCTCACCAGGTTGTGGAGCTCTGTAGAAACGCCCTGCATGGTCTTTATAGATCCCAGTAACAGCATGAACCCCAGTAACGACATGTGACGATTCGCTGGGGGCACCTCTGTCTCTGATCGGACTGACTGGTGGAATGCGATACTCAACAGCATCCGACTCATACTCATCCGACTCGTCATCAATCTCGTCTGAAGGCTCAAACAGTGAAGCATGATCACGACTGGGACCAGATCCACTACCAGCCGTACTAGGTGACTGAAAATCAAACTGAGGAAAACCGTCTGCCCTCATACTCATCGGTGTCACTAGTGGCTGTGGCTATGGTTGTGGCTGTGGCTCATCTCTATCATTTAGGTCCCTATTTCTCACACTAGCACTAATGTTACGCCCAATGAATCTTCTCAATCTCTTTGCAGCTCCTCCAATACTACGTTTCATATTAATATCTTATAATAAATTATTTGTTAAGCAATTACTTTTTGTTTCATAGAGTAATTATGATACATACAATTTGTTATCTAATTAATTTAACTAGATAGTTATTTTACTTAATACGATGGGTAGTTATTTAAATATAGGCAACACTTTCATTTTGTGTCGCTTAATATATATTTTATGCAACACAAATCAACAGCATGATAATTTTTGTTGCATATTGTTAATAATATGCAACACTTGTACAATAAAATAACTTGTGTTACATATTCTAATATTTTAGACAACAATTTGTAAAAAATGTAACATATTGTACCAATTTGATATTTGTTATTAATTAAAATTATTATATTAATCAAGCATATTAGTTAAGAATATTATTATGTATTAATCAAGTATATGAACTATAATTATAATAATTAATAATATTATTGTATATTAAATAAGTATATGAATTATTATATTTATATTAACTAAGTATGTGAATTTCACATTAACTTGAACTCTCACTACAATTGAAGAACAAAAAATAAAAGAACCTCCACTACAAATGACCAAACCTCGTTATACCTTTATTATTATTAATAAATACTATTGAATTTTTTTCACTTCCCACCGGATCATCCATATCTCGAAGATAATTATGGTAAAATATACTTGATTTTTATATTCTTCCTACCAAAACAAAAAAAGAGCCTATCAATCTGAACTTCCAGCCTTAGCATAAAGTATTTCGCCAAAATAATTATTTGAATGGTTATTAGCCATTTGGCCAATTATATTATCTAATTATTTGCCTGAATATTTTCTATTCATCCTAGCCAGGAAAAACATTAAAGTGGCATACTTCCACACTTCCACACTTTATATAATGTTTTCCTTGAATATTCTTTTTGGTAGAATCCTTGAATATTTTTAACACAATTAAAATTTGAGATTTTATAATTCCACCTTGAATAGGTGCTAATTTATCAGACCAACGAGTCATGGAGACTCGTATGCATCATGGTCAACCACTTTGAGAATAGTCATGGAGACTCGTACACATTTCTACTATATTTATTTTAATTTCGATTCGATAATCATACGGATAAAAAGTGGCATAGCATATATTTAGTAAATTAAAAACTATTAGTTTTACTAAACAATCTTAGTACGGAAGCTTTGGCATAAGAGGCAATATTTATTAATTGAAAGAATATGTAACAATTGATCACTAATTAGGTAAGTCTCAATTCCAAGTACTTTATTCTAGTGAATTACCTATTATCATCGTATACAACCATAAAGTAAAAATTATGGACTTTATTTTTCCTCGTAAAACAATTGTAGGCAATAATATTTTTTTATTCGTTCATCTCTTCAATAATAAAAGCTCTTCCCTTAAGTATGATAAATCCAATAGATTTTCGGCAAACATAGCTCTTTGAGAATCTCCCAACCCATAAAAGGATCTCCACTCTTCCTATTCTATATCAATATAAAATTCAATACTATTAATCCAATCTTTCCCATAGAATAAAAAACCTTCATCTGCCGAAGTCCTTCTTCTGCAAAACCCTGCTTCTGTTCCATCGTCATCTCCTGTTCCTAGATGCCATCCTCGTTACTGTCAATCTCAAGACTCAAGTACACTGCTCTCTCGATTGAAGTTTTTGTTAGTGTTGACATACTGTTAATTAGGTATTGTACAAATCTTCTTCCTAAAACTAATATTATTTTCAGAGTTTTATTCCACGTGCTCTTCTTCCTGGGATACGCATTAACTAATTTAAGCAACTACTCCTATCGTCTTCCCCTGATAACAATGAAGCTTTGTTTTGATAGGAATCATGAGCTCCGGTTATATTGCGTACTCGGCCAAAAGGGAAGGGAAACTCAAGAACGACAAGCCAAATCAATGAATTCTGACAGTGATGAGATAAGATCCCAATCGATAGATGAAGTATATCATTTCGATGAGACTCATAATCAGTCAGAAGAACTGCGTGCAAGACTCTCCATTAATATTTTTATGACCATAGTTCTTGTCACTAAATGAGTTATATGTGACAAATTTTATGTAAAATGTATTGTGTTACGAGTCAAATCCACGCCATTGTTGTATTTTGTAATGACAATATTTGTCACAGAAATCACTTTTTGTGACAGATCAAATTTAAACTAGTGTATACTATTTGGTACAATGCACAATCGTCACCATTATTGTCATACGTGACAAAAAAAACTACAATGTATCATTATCGTCACTTATGTATCATATATCATATCGTCACTAATATATACTACTCTTACAATGAATAGACGTCACAAATAGTGTCAGGAGTGACTAAAACATTTATCACAGAAGTGTGCTATTGTGACAGTACCACTGTCGCAAAAACCTCCTATTGTGATAAAATGATGGCAAAAAACAGGAATCGTTTGTGACAACTAAAAATGGTTACAAGTGAAATAAATGTGGTGACGACACGAACTCGTCACAAGTGTAAAGTATTTGTTACACTCAGAAAGTTGTCACAATTGAGTATGTCTTATGTGACGAAAGACCCAGTTACAAATAAAACTTATACATGTTAGGTATACATGTCAAAAAGTGTTGCGTATATTTTTAGAGTGTTGCCTAAAATTGTGTTGTATATGTGAAATTGTGTTGCATATAAGGCATACTTATGCAACACATTTTTTGTTGTTGCAAAAAGTGTCAAAAGTGTCACCTATTACTTTATACAACACCACCTATAGAGGACATTACTAAAAGTGTTGCATAACACATATACAACACTTTCGGTACTTCTTGCAACACATTTCGAGTGTTGCCAAATGCCACTTTTTCCGTTGCATATTATATAAAAATTTGCATAAAGTCATCTTTGAATGCCCTTGTTAACTAATTATCTTTTCGTTGCAAATTTTTTATTCTGGGCTCTCCCATAATTGTGATTCACAGGTTTCAACTAATTCGAGTGATCTCCCCTTCTGAAGATTCAAATCAAGGAGTTAAGAAGGGTGCGAGTTGTGGGTAGAGTTTCATGAAGAGGTTCTCACAAATTCAGTTGAGTAGCAGGAGAGACAAAGTGTATATCAAGAGCGGATAATCGATAGTCTCCAAGTACAGGACGAGAGAAGATTAATCAAGATATTTTTATTTTATTTTTTAATATATAGTGTACCACGCTTACTATTAACCGTTGGATTAATGTTATGTTTAGTATATATATGTGTGTCAAAGATATTTGTCAGTAAGAAGATATTCATGTGACACTAGTCTAAGTCACAAAAGTAAGCATTTGTGATAATGCATCTCCTCACAATTGAACTCTCATAATATCATGTACAATTGTTACAAATATTGTCATATGACAAAAAGTTCGTAAAAAAGTGGACTTTTGTGACAAATGCCACCGAAACTAAAGCCATAACGTAACTGTCAAAAATGTTTGTCACAAATATTTTTTAATAATAATAACTGTGTCACGAGAACTTGATTTTGTGATAGTAGCATTGTCACAAAAACTTTATTTTGTTACAAACGTACATTTGAAAAAGAGAATTATTTGTGACAACCTAACCTAGTGACAGTGGAAATACATAAGGTGACAACACAAACTCGTCACAAGTGTAAAGTATTTGTTACAAGCGATAGTTGTCATAATTGAGTACGTCTTATATGACGACAAAACCTGTTACGAATAAAACATATACATGTTGGTTATACATGTAAAAAAGTGTTGTGTAAATTTTTTGTAGTGT